CACATTAGGTACATCTACATTTGTGCAGCTACCCTAGACTATGTGAAGGGGAGTACAGTGTGTCAAAAGCTAGCTACGCGGTGCTAAAAAAAAAATCCCCATCACACAGGATGGTTAGTCATACAGAGACATGTGATAAGTAGTCTGCACTGCAAACTGGGGTGCATTATGAGGATATCATCATCAACACAAGAGTGAATACGGTAGCAGTGATACTTAAGTTATTATTTAAACTAATCCTAAAGTCTATGGACTCTGGCCTGAACATTTCACATCCACAGAATTCGTGAAGGAGGTACATAGGGGTCGGCCCCAGTGAACACTGGGATGACCCGACCCCCTTGTGACACTCCCGATAAATTCACCATTAATCTGCAAGTCATTTGGCCTCCAATCTTTAATAAACAGATTTTCTCATATATTATATAAGTCTTCTGATTTATTTTTCCCAACAATTGTACTTAATTCTTCGTAATTCTCTTGATTTTGTTTAATAAAATTCTACCATATTAGTTATTACAATCAATTCGTGAGTGAGTTAGTCTTCTTTGTATGCCTTATCTCTAACAATGATGCCGCGAAAATAATACCAGAATAATGCCCACCAAGATGTTAGCAATACTGTATGATCTTGTTTCTTATCTAGAAACAAAAGTACAAAGGGGAAAAAAAGTCCAAAAATATAGTTGGCAGACAGGCAGTGGCCCTGGTCATATGTATACACAATCATCTATATTGTATTATATAAATAGCTACGGATTAAGGTGCATTAACGCCGACTCGATAGTCACCAAGTATAATGTCTAGGCAGTAATGGGGTTTTCCAACTCCATACAAATTATAGATATATTTTGTAATTTACAAAACAGCTGTTATGTATCTTTCACTTCGTTCTGTGGCAAGTCTTGCTTTTAGTCGCTGGCACTCCGCAAACGTTTACAAGTCAGTTTGGTACACACAGGTACCATACAAGTATATGAACAAACTTTACTGCCTAAAAAGTAAAATACACGGTACTAATACTTAGGTATTGTAAGTAAACACTACTAATGTATTGTAGATTACATATATGAAAGCCTATTGTACATTTTTACAGACATTTTACCCAAAATGTAGATAGTATATGAGTGTGAGGTGCGGTGGTCACTCCGGATGTTCCCCGCGATGACACGGCACCAATTATCCAGTGCGATGCTCACAAGACCTTCACGCTGGAGATGAGCCGTACCTCTGGCAGCCACCGGCCGAGCTAGCAGGTGAGCAGGACCGCGGTGGCCGGATACACTCGCCCAACTTTATCCATATCCACCACACAAACTCCTTATTTCCTTCTTCGTTCATCACTAGCACTGTACTCTCCAGGTATTCAGCTGGTGAGTGTTTACATTAACAGCCTCGAACAGCGTGTGACTTACCCGCTGTTGGGAATGATATGGCGGAGGTGTTGTGCGAGATCCTTCGACCACTGGACAATCACACGACTCGCGCATGCACCTGTAACGCGAAGTGTGGTTGGTGGAAATCCTGCAACACCTGATACCTCGACTAATGGCAGACGATCTTTTATATCCCCCCTATATGCGCGCATCCTCTGACCTTTGCCCCCTTAATTAATACTAATTTATCCGGTTATGAAGGGGGTTATATTGGCTGTGCCCCAAATTGTCATCCTCGATCGGGGCCGGTCTGCCTGGCGTCACCAAAATGTTTGTTAGAATTCCGGTTAGACATCTGTTACTTCAGATATCAATATTCTGATAGTTGCTGTTTGCTAACATATTCATCATTAGCAGATCAAATTTTATAAATGCACGTGCATAACAGTTATTCGAAACATATGTATTTTAACAGCTGTCACAAAATTTATAGACCATCCGTATGGAAAATATGAACAAAATCTGTACAATACTTGATATATTTAAATGTACATAATACAACAATACTTATATACAGTGATTATATTTTTAGTGTATATTTATATTAAAATTATTTCAAGTAACCTACTAGAATGATTCAATTCGGTAAGATTAAAGTCATAATAGGCTCTTGCATATGGGTTATTATAGCCTATAACGTCGTTTGATTTTAATCACCTACTTAATTAATAATTGTAATCTACAGGCTACTCAACAAAATGTTATCAATACACTTGGTTCATTTTTGTTTTCTATTATAATTATTTTGTTTAGGATATTGGCCTTACAGGCTTACAAAAAGTGCTTCGTATACGTAAGATTAATATTTTTAACGGGGATGAGCTGTCAGTTCAGCGTTGAGATTTATAGTTCCTTCTTCAAGTCTCAATCCTTTTTTCTAACAATATTTCTTATATGTGCTGTTAGAATAGTACTATAATTCTATTATATTTTCTAGTTGTGTTTGGGGCATCCTACTCTTCACGGGGTTCATTCTGCATTTCAAAATGTCTCTGTTGTTAGTAAAATTGTTAATGTTATATTTGGGCCCTGGGACTTATGCTGGAACAAAACACTTTATTGTGCAACATTAGTGACATGACCGACTACGTGTATCCAATGCAGTTTGTCACTTTTCGTCTCCTTTCAAAAGTACATCCTGAGTCTTTTGATGCAGCCAGTAATTATCAAGAGGGGCTCAGCCAGTACTGTATATGCATCACTGCTAAACGAAGGAACTAATATTATTCAAGATGATGCGAGAACTGAGACAAGCTTAGATATATTGAGATCAGATTCACCAAGATGTATATTTAATGATAGTGAATTAAAAAAAATGGCATTTATCAAGGTAAGTAATTATCAAATGAAGGCCCCAAGCTGGAGGTGTGTATGTAATGAGTGAACAATACAATTTGTGAGATTTATGAAGGTTTTATTTCCATCATATTAACATGAGTCAACTTAGTTTGGTCAACGCGAAAGCGGGCTATTTTATAAGGAAGTAAGCAATTATCAAAAGAAAGCGTCAAGCCAGGGAGACTGTAACTATTTGATACGGAAATTTCCCATTGGTTCTGATGAAACGGAGGAAGGCCACTAGAAAACATCTTATATTTAATATAGTTTATTAGTGGATTAACCTACCCATTTCACTCATCTGGCAAATGAAAATGGGTGTGGGTTGCAATCTGAGAAAGGAAAAAAAAAGAGTATTTCAATATTAGATACACATAATACGCCATAAAACTCCACTGATTGGCATTTATTAATAGCAGGAAGTAGAGGAATTGTTCTTTTATTACTGCTTTGAGACTTTAAGGTCAGTTGAGCTGATACAGCTGAGCCGAGTTTGGTTCTATAGTAGGTGAACCTCAGCCAACTACGAGTATTGCTACTATTTTAACGAGAGGGTAGATTTAGGTAATTAGGAGACATTCATAGAATCGACTAACTAAAGAGATGTACAGGGTGGAAGCACTGTAAAGAGTGGAACCACTGTACAAGGGTGTGAAGTGGAAATGGTAGGGAGCCAATGGTTAACCGATGGCATGTGCGCTGATCAACCATAAGAGGGAAGGGATACCTTGTAGTAGGAGCTTTTTTATTTTTTTTTTAGACATTATTTGCTTTAAATTTCAAGTTAACATTGTAGTGGTCAACTTGATAATGTCCACAAGATTTGACACGAGTTGGGTGATGAACCAAATAGTTAATACATCTTGAGTGAGTTTAGAGACTTGGTTGACTACAGATGGGGCAAAATCACACTGGGCTCAGACATTTTTGCACATTAGCCATATTTCCAATAGGTAGAACACTGACGTGGGGATGGGAGAAACATTTTTACCAACACTAATAGTACCTCAATTACCGAGGGTGAAAGGACACATCAAGTGTCTCTTACAATTCAGTACTCAAGTTAATTTTGTTTACCACACTGGGGTCAGGTATAATTATCCACAGACAGAAATGGATGGCCCTAACTTTATATGATGGCCTTAAAATTATCCTGGCAATCAAAGGTTGGTATTCAAATGAAATACAGTATAAGCAATAAGGATGGTAAATATACATTAATTGAATCACACATTTTTCACAATTTTAATTGAAGTATAGTATTATTAATATGAACATGTTGCATTAGGTGTTGAGCTTATTCTTTGGACTGAACTTGAATAACTCATTTACCTATGTGTGATTGATAAAATTTAGGATATATCAAATGATTCAGAGCTGAAGATGAAGTTCCAGATCACTGACAGCAATTGCTTTCAAAGGTTCGGCATCTAAATATTTAGACCATGTCTGACATTCAAGTAATAAATTGTTGGAGTAGAAGAGTCCAAAGAGGGATCAGGGAAAGCGTCCACATCAGTTTGCCAAGAGGAGTTATCAATGTCGGAAATGGTAATCTCCATAAAAGTAGGGTGGTCAGATAGGAAGCAATTGGGTGATAACCACCAAAGAATAACTTAACAGGTATAGTTCTACAATTTAACTGACTCAGCCCACATAAGCCTCTTAGGCTGAAGATGAGCAAGGCATAAGCATATGGAACAAATACTCGACATGAAATATAAAGCGTTGCCCCTACAGCCTAATACTCACACACAGCCACAGCCTAACTAGGGCAGGCAATTAAAAGTTCCAAGGATAGTATATGCAGGTCACTATTAAGGCTAATGGCATTTCAGGGCTGAAGTACTCGAGTCAATCAAGCCTCTTTCAAACTCAAATTTTAACTCTAAAGAAATCCACCTTAGTTGACCTAATTTCCAAATGAAGGGAAACAGGATATCATGAATCTCCATGCATGACAAACACAAGTTGTATAAACTTAACTTTAGCTATGCTTCTAAACCAACAGTCGGCTTAGCAAGATAAAATCGGAGCCTGCTGCATGGGGGTCAAACAATAGAAGCTGGCCCCACCACCAAGTAAAGGTAGCTACAATGGGGAAATCAGTCAAGTTTATACGTTTCTACATCTATCCCATTACTGAAGTATTTTAAAATCTAATACACATGCAAATTACAACTACTTTCTATATAATCTAAATAAAGATGGAAAATAATAAATTTAGTGATTCAACCTTTTAATAAAAGTTTTCAATTCTACCATCGGTAACAGAAGTTACAAAAATATTCATTCATAAAATGGTAAATAATTTCTTAATTCATATTAGTGACAACCATATACATCTTGTGAAACTTCATAGGTATCACACTGGTTGCACCTTCCCTCACTGATGGATTGTTGGCTATATAATTGGGCCACTTTAATGATCAGGATTTGCCACCTGAACAGAACACTTAATAATTGTTTACCTTTATCTTTAATTTACGACTATCTTACAAACAACCTTTACCTTTCACAGAGAATGCCACAATATAATAACCTTTTCCTGTTATAGAGAATGCCACAATATAATGTTTTCAATTTATAGAATGCCACAATAATGTAACAGAAAACAAATAACTCGACCAACATACATGAAATGGACCGAAAGATAACATTTTTGTCCATCCTGGACCCTTATATAGTCACAACTGAGCAGTAGTGAGTAGTTGTTGTTTTAGATTCAGCTACTCTAAACCAAAAGTTCTAAGTTGCATGGGCTATGGTGAGCCTGCAGTAGCCTTACCTGGCACAGGAGCGGGGCTGTAACTGCAATAGTGAGAAATGGGAAGCCAATATAAGGCAAGAGAGAATGCGAGATGAAAAGTGGTGAAGTGCAATTCGAGAAGTAAATCATGTCACTTTCATTTAATTTGTGTCAGTTGGGTTATTTATTTTCCATCTACTTTCTTGTACTCATATGTGAGGGCCAGTGTTCATTCATTTGCATGCATCCATATATCTTGGTGCAAATGCCAACTATTCCACTTTTACAATAGCCAAACCAACTTGTCAACTTCTTTTGTCATGTGGTTTCAGGTGCTCTTTCAGAAATATTAATAACACTAACAAGTCACTATTTTCTATAATAATAGATAAAACTTCATCAATATATAAAAAGTTTACAATCTGTAGCCAGTTGTATATCGTAAAAATACATTTTATGGAAGATAACTTTGCTATTTTTTCCAAAACTCAAACCACAAAACACATCAAACTTCAGTAACAAATATGTTTGCAATGTGGAGAAAACTTAAATTGTATTATTAGCGTTAATGAAGCTTCATTTTCAAATTCTTACATTTGCCAATTTATTGCTTTCAGTGACACTGTATATTTACAGTTACAACTTAATTGTGGCTTAAATGTAACAAAAAAAATATATCCTTGCATATTAAATCTTCAAACTAAAAAAAAATTATTATAAACTACATGTTCTTACAGTGCATTAATCAAAACAATATTTAGGAGCAATGGGCTCTTTAAAATGATTTCAGGTGGACTTTTTTAGTATTCTAGAGTAAATTATCGGGGACACATGGCATGACGGCCACCATCAACTGGAATTGATGCACCAGTGACAAAGGAGGCTTCATCAGAAGCCAAGAATGCAATTGCTGCTGCCACTTCCTCAGGTTGTCCTGGACGGCCTAGTGCATGAGTTTGCTTGGAACGCTCAAGGAACTGCGTGCAATAAGATTAATAATATAAAGTCAACAGCCTGGGTAATATATGAGAGAAAATGCAAGTACAGTGCAGTATTACATTATAGTACATTTCAACTATCTAAATAGTTGTATTAATTAATAATTTTCCTTATGCGAGTATTCTATTTATGAAGTCACCAGCCCCCTATTGATTAAATTTACCAAGTTAAATAATAAAGAATTATGAAGGACATTAGTACACTAGTAGTCCTGTATGTCCACTGTTGGTGATAATTAGTAAGAGGACCACTAAAGTAATTTTTAAGGGTGTTAAGAGAGATGACCGACAGCCTATCAGCAGAACGGAGATAGAAATTAAACAGTCCCAGTATCACACCCTTTTAATATACAAAACTACAGTATTAATAAAACTTTCTTTCCTTGGCTGCCAGTAACACTTAACATTTCTCATACTGCCCCTTGCCTCTGTATTACCATAAACATTACATTTCACCAAGAAACACCACTACCTCAAATGCCTTAACCATTATACTGTACAAGAACTTTTAATTAAATAAAAAAAAATTTCACTCATTTGGCACTGAATTTCATGTAAATTTAATAAGATACTTACTGCAGCATAAGCCTCTGGCGCAAGACCACCTCGCTTCTGTAGTTCTGTGACTACAACACCAGGGCTGAAAAGGAGGAAAATTAATTTAATAATATTTTGATATACAGTACACGAAGAGCAGTTTTCATTTTGCGATTTTGGCAAAGATATTTTGCACCATATTGTCCCTAAAACCTGATTTGCCAATAATTTTACATTCAGGTTCCAATTACTGTTGATGCACAGTACAGAGCTAAGTTCTGTGATGCTTTAAAAGTGTAAACATGCCATTCCAAGCTACAACATTTTGTCCTTTCTAAGGAAATGAAGGCTCCAAAAAATTATTTTACACAGTCAACTTGTAACTCTACAGTACCCATTTTTATTATATATATTTCACTTCCAAATGTATACTATGTAGCAACCATTCAGTATTATGTAATTGAGGCAGTTATATCAGACATATGCACTAATAAATACAGTACTTCATTAATTATTATTATTATCAAAGTGATAGTCTGAAAAATATTGATCAAATTTGAATCCTGTTACTGTATATATAATCGCGCGTACTATACTTACTTAACAGAGTTGACCCGAACTTGTTTATCTGCAAGCTCTGAAAAATAGGTTTCATTTTAATACAATATTTTAATACAATATTTTAATTATGAAAATCTTGTACTGAACTTAATTACAATCCTTAAACTAAACATCGCAATTAGCAGATAATTTCTTTGAGAGAGAACAGAAACATTTAGACAAATTATTCTTACCTAAGGCAACACATCGTGTCAACTGATCAACTGCAGCTTTTGAGATGTTGTATGCAAGAACACCAGGAAACTAATGGGGATAAAATTATTCATGTTAATCAATATTTACAAAAATTATCATATATAATAAATCTACCTTAAAAGTCTATAAGGCTGTTTTCCTAGCATCTAAAACAAACAGGAAAATGATTTTTTTTTCTAATTCAGTTCATACCTGTATCTGAACACCCAACCTTGCAGTTACTTTGCGTTGATTCTGGGGGTCAGGGTCCTCGCGGGGCCCAGATTCTGACCAGGCCAGGGGCTATAAACCGTTCACAGAGGTGTGCCAAAATATGGATAAATCCTCAAAATTATCTTGCATACCCATGGAAATTTTGAGTCACAGATTATTTTATTTTTTGTTTTTATGAAGACAACATGATGCTAGAAAGCATTCTTAAAGAAGTTTCTTTAGGCATCTGTTTTAATTGTTTTAAATGGTAGAGCTTTTGGACTTATGTTATTAACAACTAGGAATTCCCAAGCAGCAAAATTAATGAATAAGCAACAGTGATAATAAACCATTGCTTATTTATGAGTATATTTATTGCTTTATATTTAATAATAGTACAAGGGAGAGATTGAAATATATGAAAGTTTTTTAGAAATCCTGTTAAAATTAATATTAAAAGTTATTAACAAGACAACTGAAAAATAAATTTGTCAATATTTTATCCTATAAACAAGAAATGTGAATGTCAAGTTATAAGCTTAGGTTCATATTATAAAACATGAAAGAAATAAGAATGGAAAATAAGATTATTTTACTCCCGGTGAGACTTTTGTTGCGGTACCAATGATATTTTATATCAGACTTGTATTTGGTTGTTTTGAGAGCTAAGCACATAGCACTAGTTTCATCAGTAAGTCTACTCCTATAATTACACTTGACAAAGTTCACCACGGAAAACAATGACTTGCACGAATATCTCGTTGTGAATACTGTTGATACTGTCATTGCGACACTTATATTTTTATATATACAGTACTGTATTGAAGGCTCCGAAATCTTGAAATTCTCATGAATTTTAAGATTTGTCATGTGCATTTTTTAGGTTTGGAAAAGACATACAGTACAGTAAAGTGCCATTGTTGACATTTTCAATTTTTTTAGTTTTCAGCCTTTTGGCCAAAAGCCTGGAAAAATCAAATCATGAAATCCTCCTGAAAATTAGGACATTCTACAGGGTGATCAACTGTTAACAGTGACATGACAAAGTCCACCGACATAGTTAACCTTTGATGGTGCATAACTTATTCAGAAAAGCTAACCATCTATTTCTCCATTGGTTGTAGATTTTGTATGAATGACTAGAAATCAGGTTTGATCATGTGTCATTCTCTGAAGATACTACAATAGTAGCATTTAAAGGCCTTACTCATTGCCTTTCAAGATAATGCAAATTACACTTAATGTCTCTTCACAGGAGGTTTCTAATGCATGGAACAGTATTTACTTTGTCATCCATCTCTGTATGAGTAAATTTATATCCTGAATCTAAATGGGGCCTAATAAGGAGAAGCTAAAGAATAACATATTACTAATCACTAAATTACATTTCTTGTGAATATGCAATCATATATGGTTTGCCATACTTAGGGACAGGAAATTGTGTTAAGTTTATTGAGGGCTTCCTAGACCAACTAATGACCCTCCCCAGAACACAACCCACAATAGTTGCCCAACTCCTGGGCATCTACTTAGAGACACATCAGGAGCAAGGAAACATTGTTCAAATGCTTCTGTCCTGCCATGGGAAATGAATAAGGGACGTTTCAGCTGTGACCTAATTGCAGTGACCACTGCACCACAGGGCACAAACATAAGTACAGCAAAAAGGGTGGAAATAAGTAAAATAAAGAAACTACCATGCCAACCACTGCATTGGCTAACAACTCACCATGCTCCATAACATTGGGTACCTACACATTTAATATATCAGTATATATTACATTTAACTTGGTTGTGGTGTCATTTTACAAATACACTTCTTTCAGTTCATATACTAGATATTTATTAAGTTATTAAAATTGTTAATAATGCTAGTACAGTACTCTACCTCTAAAGAAAATAGATGAATATAATTTTTACACACAGCTCTAAAATTCTTAAGGGAGTTGTCCTGCTCAGTTCTAACCATAGAGCAATTTGAGAATTGTCTAAATTATGATACAATCCCATGGGGCACTGCATTACTCGGCTACACCATAAATTAGTATAAAGTAACTGATATTATACAAGCAGCTACCTTTTCCCAATATCCAAGTAACACAGCACTCACATGGGCCTGTATCTAAATAGCAGTTCCCAACGCCCCTGTATCCAATGTATATAAAATCGTTAGATAAGGTAAGGTTCTATAATTCAGACGGTTCAAGCAACTCCTCAAAAAGTGCTCAATATTTTTCAAATCTGCCTACTTATTACTTTTCAAAAATGAGTAAAACAGCTATTATGAACTTATATATTACCTTATGGTTTAAGATAAATCTTCAGGAGCTCCATATCTCTATCATTATCCATTTTCTGCTGTTTTGTTTCTATGTTTGAAACTGCCTTCAGTCCATCCTCATTCTCTTGCTTCCTTTTTATGGTTCTTCCTTCACTAAGGGTATAACCCACATTTTTTCTTGAACCTGATGCCTCATAATTTATATCTAAATCGGCGGTTTTATCATATCTCTTGACATATGTGTAAGTCTCAAGTGTCTGACACTCGATGCTTGGTTGACATGGCACAACTTTAGCTGTCTTCAGTCCAATAGCATAAAAACTCTGCCTTCTCTGTGCTAGCTTTGCTAGTCTGGCTCTCTCCAACTCAGCTATTTGGTTATTCCATATATAAACTATGGCAGCACCCCAGCCTTTAGTTTCTATGTTACCTGCCACTTTCCTATCTCGTGGTAGTAATTCAAAGTTCTTGCTTTTCATGCAACTTGTCCATTCCTGAGCAAACTTTAAGTTTCCCATCTTATATGAGGATGTCACTGAAATCCTCAGATTCCTCAGTTTTGGTATGGCCAACAAAGACTTAAGAGTTTTAATACTGACAGTATTATCAGCAACATCTAAGGATTCCAGCGCTTGAAAACCAGTCTTGTACATCTTAAAGCGTGCAAAGAGCAAACGAAATCCGTCATCTGACAGTGCATTACAAGACAGATTGAGCACTTTTAAATGCTCCATATCCACTATTCCTCTCAAAATATCATTGTTGTTGCCCAAGAGACATCCGTGTAGATCTAAATGAGTTACTGGAAGGCATAGCAGGACTATGCACTCACAGTACTCGCTAACCAGCTGTAGACTCTCACACTGGAAAGACTGCATGAACTCTTCTCCATATGCGGTTACAAACAGACTAATAATGTGCTCTGAGGCGGCATTATTCTCAGTAAAATACCCGCAGTGGATGCAAGTCTGCAAGATCTGTTCACCCACGATCTCTGGAAAGTGGACCAACGACTCCACCAGGTTGATATTCCTTCCTACATAATCCAAACATATCTTAAATAATGACTCGGGAGTGCACTGATCAATGCATAACTTTTGCCTTTCTGTTAAGCAGTCAAACATTTTAGCTAGAAGCTTAAAAATGTTGAAGGAGTGCTCGACCGTGACAATGTTGTTGTTGTGCTCCAGCTGATTGTGGCGCCAGTGACCACGCTGCCACCTGGCGGCCACCGCCGGTATCCACACTTAGGAAAATGGTCCACCATATTTGTCACCACTAACTTTAACAAAAACATACCACAAGTACAATAATGGATAATATAAAATATATTTTCATATATATATATATATATATATATATATATATATATATATATATATATATATATATATATATATATATATATATATATATATATATATATATATATATATATATATATTTTTTTTTTTTTATATAGGGAAGGGAGTACCACCTCTGGCTGGAAGAAGGGGGACCCATAGCCTCGGAGGAAACCACACATAACGCATTGGAGGGAATGTGGGTCCCCTCCAATACAGTTTCTGTGTGCTTTTCTCCTACCACCCCCTTCCCTTTTTTTTTTTTTCCTTTATTGTGTATTTAAAGGTTACAAAACATACAAGACAAATGCCTAAAGGTTATGGATCTCTTGAAGCTCCTCCGCTTCTGGACAGGAACCGAGGACGCAGCAAGCATTTCCCCTCTGGATCGCCACACTGAGACGCTGAAATAAAAAACTGGAAGCCCTTGGGTCTCTGGTGACGTCAATGAGCTTGGACCCCAATTCCTTGAGAAATCCCAAGGCACTCTTGCCCCAGGGGCCATGCGTCTCAGACGCTATGGGAACAAAGAGGTATTGACCTTCCAGTCGCCTGTACTTGAGTGATTTTGCTGTTTCCCTGTGGTTGGCCGCCCCACCTGCTTGATCAGCTCCGAAGTGTACATAGGTGTCAGCCAGGGTGGATACACATGTGTAGTCCCACACCAACTGTCTACCCTCCTTCCATGAGTATATGGTGATGCCATCAGGGCAAAGTGCTAGGAAATCCGGGTTTTGGACCCCTAGGATGCGAGGTTCTCTCTCCGCTGGGCACCTAGCTGAGACGAGGCTTCTCTTGATGATGTCATTGACCTCGTTGTGTCTTGCATGCCAGCCCTTTGTGCTTCCGCAATGCAACCCATGCAGTCCGTATTGGTCTGCTTCCACCCTGTTGCAAATACACTTGTATTCAGTGTGAATTGGGGCACCAAGGCGGAGGGCCACTGCTACACGAAGGGATTCTGGATCTAGGCGCGTGCCCATTGCAGACATGGGTACTGCCAGGAGGAAGTCTCCTGCATGGGGGGCACGCATTGCTCTGAGGCGGGCTTTCTCCTTGTCTGATGTTGCGACGCTTAGCATGGCATCAGCTACTTTTTCCACTAGAGGGTGGTCCCAGCCGGACTGTTTGTGTTGTTTTGTTGGCTCTATAATGGTTGCTGGGGCTGCAAGAACATTCCACTGATTTGAACATTCAGTGAAAGCAGGATCGTGTATTCCTGCTGAATCTATATTATATATTATATATATATATATATATATATATATATATATATATATATATATATATATATATATATATATATATATATATATATATATATATATATATATATATATATATATATATATATATATATATATATATATATATATATATATATGTCGTACCTAGTAGCCAGAACGCACTTCTCAGCCTACTATGCATGGCACGATTTGCCTAATAAGCCAAGTTTTCATGAATTAATATATTTTCTCTAATTTTTTTCTTATGAAATGATAAAGCTATCGATTTCATTATGTATGAGGTCAATTTTTTTATTGGAGTTAAAATTAATGTAGATATATGACCGAACCTAACCAACCCTACCTAACCTAACCTAACCTATCTTTATAGGTTAGGTTAGGTTAGGTAACCAAAAAAGCTAGGATAGGTTAGGTTAGGTAGGTTAGGTAGTCGAAAACAATTAATTCATGAAAACTTGGCTTATTAGGCAAATCGGGCCTTGCATAGTAGGCTGAGAAGTGCGTTCTGGCTACTAGGTACGACATATATATATATATATATATATATATATATATATATATATATATATATCTATATCTATATATATCTATATATATATATATATATATATATATATATATATATATATATATATATATATATATATATATATATATATATATATATATATCTATCTATATATATATATATATATCTATATATATATATATATATATATATATATATATATATATATATATATCTATCTATATATATATATATATATATATATATATATATATATATATATATATATATATATATATATATATATCTATATATATATATATATATATATATATATATATATATATATATATATATATATATATATATATATATATATATATATATATATATATATATATAGATACTGTATATATACATTATATATATATATATATATATATATATATATATATATATATATATATATATATATATATATATATATATATATATATATATAGATACTGTATATATATCTATATATATATGTATAATATATATATATAATGACAGTGTCAGACCACGGAGTTGGGAGTTTGCCCCTTGAGGTATCCTTCTCTTGAAAGAAATTTTTGGGTGTATGTGTTCATCTTTTTATACAGTATGTCAACTAAAGTTGAATCTACTGTATTGTCTAGGTTAAGGCCTAGAAATTTTCCTCCAGTCCTACTCTCTATTTAAGTGTTATTTATTCTTAGATCTATTAGGCAGGCAGATTTGTTACCAAATAATGCTTTATGATTTGTCTTTTGTTAACTGTTAACCATGTCATTGAACTGCGGATTGTCTCTTAAAGTGTTTGTCTAATGTGGATGACAATTGTAGAGTTTTTGTTGATCTACAAGGAGCGTTTGATAAAGCCAATGGGGAAGTAATCTTATACGAATTAGCCAATCTGGGAATAACAGGGAGATTGCTACACTGGATAAGGGATTACCTGCAAGGCAGAAAAGGTCAGGTGTATTACCAGGGATACATGTCTGAGGAACGGAGGTTTCAGTTAGGTACCCCACAAGGGGGAGTATTAAGTCCCACCTTATTCAATGTATTAATGAACAGATTAGCATCAGAGATGTATCCTCCAGGGGTCACGACGATCATATATGCTGATGACATTCTTATACAAGGCACTTCTGGGAACAAAATTCAAGATGCTCTTAACATACTTGGTACAACCTGTCACAAGTTAGGCTTAGTTATAAATGCAGATAAAACCAAATACGAGTATAGGAAACGAAGAAATATAACACTTACTCTAAATGGTGTGGAACTGAGCCGTGTACAGAAGTACAAGTATCTGGGCATGTATGTTGGATACACATGTGAGAGTAAAAATGCTGAAATAAATCATATCAGCACCTTATGTAAAGCCCGTCTGCATCCTCTAAAAGCACTGGCTTTTTCTGGTAAAGGTGTTGGGGTACCTATCTTGCGGATGTTATACATAAGCACTGTTCGATCCCTGATAGACTACGCAGCACCCGTATTGTCTTACACAGGCCAAGGCAGAATTCAAAAAATAGAGCTGATACAGAACGAGGCTATGAGGATTATTCTTGGATGTCAAAGAAATGCAATGATTGAAATAATGAGAATGGAATTAAATTTACAGAGTGTGTGTGATAGAGTCCGTGACATTAACACTAGAGTATCTATTCGTTTCATGCGGAGAAAAGGAGGGGATAAGCTGTTTGAGAGCGTTCAGACCTGCTTGAGTGACGTACACACTTCCAGGAAACTGAGGGAGACTCGCTATACGAGAGGATTAGCTCATGACCTCAGGGAATACGACGTACTTGACTGCTGTAAACCCTCTCGAAAGTGTAATATGTCTGCTCCCTGGAAAGTACAGAAAATAGACGTCGAAATTGTACCCCTCAAGGTGAAAAAGATTCATCATGAACCGGGACAATTACGGTGTTTGTATGGAAGCATGATATCTCGGTTACCAAGAGGCAACAGTTTACATGTATATTGCGACGGGTCGGTGGCGGAGGATGGCAGGGCAGGGTGTGGTGTCCTAATAAGGGATTATACGGAGTTTGGGACTGTGGACAGGATAATTGAACTCCGGCTTAGTAATTATATATCATCCACACAAGCTGAACTGCAGGCCATTCTGGCGTGTTTGGAGGAAGTACGTCATGACGACAAAAATGTTTTTGTATTTGTCGATAGCCGAGGAGCACTGGAGTCCTTAAACAGTAGAAACCCAGTCTTCATGTCTATAGTGGAGGACTGTAAGAGAAGAATAACTGAGATACAGCTGAAAGGTTATAGTGTGAAATTCATGTGGATTCCATCTCATGTTGGAATAGTGCTCAACGAGGTGGCGGATGACTTGGCCAAACGTGCCACATCAAAACCACAAGTTGACATTGAATGTGAATTCACAATGAGACAAATAAGAAGCAAAATCAGAAATATTCAGGCACAGGCGGGAGTGGAGAGGAGAGAGATAATGTATGAGAGTAGTCAAACCATGCAACACTACATGTATGTGAGTCAAAACACCCATTTCACTTATGGTAAAAGGAGAAATGCTTGGAGTGACTCTGTGTACATGCGGCTCAGGCTTGGGTACAAATATTACTGGGAATATGGGATAGATGTTCATGGTAATGACACGAAGTGTAAACTATGTGGTATGTTAAGGTCTCACACCCTTGCCCATTATATTCTTGATTGTCCGTTGATTAGTGTATATAGAAACACTGAGATAAGGACTGTTCCTGAACAAATAGCCTGGATGTGTCACAACGGAAAGGTTGATGATATTCTTGAGAGATATAAGAATTTTGCACCAAGATTGTAATATTTTGTTGAATTATCTGCAGGTGTCTTGCAAATTGTCTATACAGTATACCTAGGTCATAAAAGTATTTGTGTGTACGTCTGATACCATACTACTTGTGAGGGAGGAAATGTATATTTTTACCTCTCAGAATGTTTGGTAATATGTTTATTTGTGATGTGTGTATATGTATGTATTAACACGTTGTACTGAACGGGGTGAGAATAGCTTGAGCTACCTCATCCCTTTGTGTGTATTTTACCTCAATAAACTTATTTCAATTTCAATTTCAATTTCAATGTCATTGAAAATTCAGTTTTTGTGTGAGGAGATGAAAGTTATCATCAGCAAATATTGTATTGAGGTCTTGGGTAGCATTTGGTACATCATTGATAACATGAGAAAGAGAAAAGGGTCAAGTAAGTTGCCCTGGGGAATTACTTTTAATGACAAGTCAAAATAACTTACTATTAATTGGAATATAAAGTTTTTGTTTAATTAATATAAAGTACAGAGTAAACCATATAAAGGTACTTACTGATCTAATTCCATTAACACTGGAGACATTGACTATGTTACCTTTGGACTCAATCAGATGAGGAGTAGCCAACATAGTTAGGTGGTAGACAGCCCTGGTAAAATGAATGTTAAATTATGAAGAATGTGGTGTTTTAAGAATATAAGCAGTGTAAAGAACACACAATATGTGAAAATAGTGCCAATCTTTTATCATTACCTCTGGATCCCTTGTAAAAAAGTGCAAAATGAAAGACCAAATCAGTCAAAATACATTCAATAGCAATTAATCAAAACAACAGGCATACTAACTGGAAAAAGGCAAGAATAAAGCACTGTAGTATGAAGCTGAACAAGAATAAGTGTGCTCTGAATGCAAAGGAAGAGGTCATGAATGAGTAACCTCAAAGTTTGTAAAAGATGATTTATTGGGTAAAGATGTGTACTGCAAATAAGTTAGATTAACTGCCACTTTCCCCATCATTCATTTGAGCATAAGAATACTAAACATGAAAAAGGTATATTACATGTACAGAATTATAGCATTTTTCTAATAGTCTATAAAGGACAGTATAACAAATTACAACACAAATGGATGAATATTAAAGAAATTAAAATTGTAAGTACTCTATTAAGGAAGTTGACCATGCAAGTTACCCGGTATATCTTCACTTACCTAATATTGGTATTCATGACACGATCATACTGATCCAAAGATGTGTTCTCAATAGTGCCCATTTCTAGTATACCTGCATTATTTACTAGAATATCCAGCCGACCATATTTCTTTATTGTCTCCTCCACCACACGCTTTGTGTCGGTTTCATTATTCAGATCAGCTGGGGGATAACGGAATATCTTTTATAAAGCAATAAAATTATATGGCCTTTATTACTGCTTATGTTATGGAAAACTTATATAAAAAGTTGTTAATGTGAGGAATCATTAAATCTCAAAAGAAAAACAAATTTGGAGCTCTAACATTTGGTTACTTCCTATGGTAAGTTTTACTGTGTCTGAAAGGCAGGATCATAAACCATTATACCATACAGGGTGGCACTCTAGCACCAGCACTAGAGCAAACATTCAAATGATTTCTGCATAGTCATACTGATGCAAGTAAGCACTGGAGAAAATTCAATCCATTTTTTAATTGCCTTCAGAATTCATATAAACTCAAAGCTCTTCTAAGCACTTCTTGACAATATAAGTAACTGCCAATGTAGAGTTCCAACAATCAGGATGAGCCTGTCCTTCAATAGAAGACAGGCTCAGCCTCTGATACCATTCTTAATAATAATAACAATAATAATAATAATAATAATTTATTTAGGAACAGTACATACATAGTTGCAGCATTACAGTACAAACATTCTGTTAGATTTAAAGATAGAGGTAGTACATACAATACCTAAAGCCACTAGTACACATAGCATTTCGGCCAAGGAGAGGTGGTGTAATGAGGAGAGGTAATGCTTTGGCTCCCGTCTCATCTGCTAGGCCTTCAATTTCCCATTCTACTTCACTGGCTACAGAGTTCTCTCTTGAGTGGGTGTTGCCGAGTGTGGTCAATGTAGCTGGTTCACAGTCGAAATTGAATTGATCCGAAATTTATTCTAGTTCCAATTTCCGTGCACAATTGGCATTTGCATAAGTTTCTTACACCTGATGCCTCTGATCACTAAGCAGTAAACAAGTAACCAGGTGTTAGTGAACACCTGTGGGCTGCATCATGAGAGAAGTTTGTGTGTTCTTGGGAATGGTTTTCCTAACGGGAAACCATTTCTGCCTAGGGTTTGAAGGATTTTCAGCTCCTTTTTTCTACGAGTGGAAGATTCCATTGATGCTACCCCAATCAGGGATGGGAGTTGGGGGTTGGTAGAAGTACTCTGGAGTCATTACATTTTTCCCATTCTTCTGCTTACGACAACCTTGCAGAGTTTGGAGATACTGTATGGTAAACCCTATTTTCTCTTTAATTGAGGATGAGGTAACTGTTGATGATCTGGTTTGGTTCCCCCTTTGATTCCTTTTGGGCTTGGGTCATCCATCCATTGGAATGTCTTCATGTGTTTGTGCATGGAAGGAAGGGAAAAGTTGCTCTTCTGTTATCCTTGTTTCCACCTCAGGTTCGGTTTACCATTTCTTTTATGAAGGTTAATGAGCCATCATTTCCAATGTTCCTGTTGCTCTGCCTTCCTGCTCTGAAGGTCATTGGAGGGTTTAGAGTTCATGCATTTCTACTAGATAAGTCTACTGAGAGTTTGGATCAGTGTCTACTTTCTGGGCTGCTGTACCATGTTTCTATTCACGGTGTTGGGGTAAAGCATTTGGTCCTGCTGGGTAAGGTTCGTAAAGCACGTCTTCTTCCTCGAGATGTGATGAAATTGTTGTTGAATGTACAGGGTTAATCTTTACATGCAGCACCTTATTGCACTAAATCTGAGTCTAACATGCATAGTGTTTCAGGTGGGTCCTTAATCTAGACAATAAAAGTGAAAGTATTAATAGGTACATTGTTGCAAAATTTGAGTTCCACATTATAACATTATGTTGCACAAATACTGTATACAGAAATTATATATATGAAGACTATATTATGTAATATTGTACACTAATACTGCACAAAACTTTACTGGGAATAAATTAGAGTAATACCTTGAATTGTAAGAGGCTTGTTAGTAGAATTGTTGCCAGCACACTTCTCTGCAACAGCCTGAAGATTCTCAACATTACGTCCAGTTAGTGCCAGAGATGCTCCATAACGTGAAAACAACAAGGCAGTTGCAGCACCTATTCCAGAAGATGCACCTAAAATTGAAGAGCATCAAGTTTAGGCAGAATATCTCATCCATTAACAACTTGAAGCACCCTTCAGTTTGTTAATATCTTGCAGATTTACTGAAGTCTATATAAAATGTTATATCCCTTTAGCCAGCTTATTTTGTGCCCATAAAATTCATCAGAGTTGTGTATTTACACAATTACATAAATGCATCTAGTGAAATTTAATAGGCAAGAACATTTAATATTCATTTGTATTGAATTTTTAATAAACGTTTACATGTAAAAAAAAAAAAAAGGCGTTCTGTATAGACATTCTGTATTAACTACTGTACCTGTATATGGTAACAGTTTTACAAATGCAAAATTTTTGAAAAAAAAAAATCAAACTCTTTCATTTGGGAAAGAAATAACTGTTACATTAGTAGGATATATAATTCCATAATTCCAAAGAGCAAGTTACTAGGAAAATATTTAACCAATATATTATTGTTATATTACTGTGTTATACATTACCATGAAACAAATTTACTCTCTTCAATAATTTTTGAAGTCCACATGCAAAAACATTATATGGGACAAATTAACCAAGAACCAAGTATTTCCTTGGCTAAAAGTATGTATTCATCAGTTTTTAGCAAATCTTTTTATCCAGTTTCTTTCATCTTCCTTTCTCATTGTTTCTGATGAATTTAGAATATGCACTGTGTTAAAATGTTAAGTTATAATAGACACATGATGAGTAGCAACTCAACCATTTGCAACTCGCTAATATTCCAATATGGCTAAACATAATCTTTCATTACATAATTTAACCTTAATCTAACACATCCAGGAAAGCATTGCCAGCTGAAAGGAGCAAGCTAGAAGTGAGCTGTACCCTCACAATATTGTTTCACACAGTATTGAGGAGCAGACTGTATTAACCTCTGAACAGCACCTCTACAGATGTAAAGAATTATAATACTGTACTGTACTGTAAATATTCATGTTTATCTAAGCTAAGGATTGTGATTAGTATTTTGAATACAAACCTATGGGGCATTGTGCTAGATTGATACAGGTAAAAAAAATACATTGCTGCTCTTACAATTAATCATTATCCTATACCAAAATATTTTTGTGTTCAAATAACCAGCATCAAATTTATTCCTAATTCTATGGTTAGGTAAGGGCTCATTATTCCGCATTGTTCTTTGATATGAAAATAAAAAAATATTTGATATACTGTATACAAGAAAAAAATTAGTGGTCTGATTAGTGGTTACATAGCACTTATGGTTCACTCTAAAGGATGAGCCGGTCGATCTCTACTACACAAAAATTATATATAACCCTACCACAACCATGAGGGGACCTTCGACAAGCCGCCAACTTCCTGTCCTCGTCGAGGCCACTAGGGTTAGTGGCCCTCAGGTAAAAAAAATAAAAAAAATGTTGAAACTTGGAGCTCATAGTTAACCCCAAACGACCGCCCAGCAACATGACACGGGAGGCAATCTGTAGGAATGATAATGTTATAGTCTACCTTTATTACGAAACAAACATGAAGAACTCTTGTAAAGTTAATACCTGTGATAATACAAATCTTCCCTGCCAGCTTGCCGGGGGCCGTCATCTTGCTGGACTTACACCTGCTCTCCTGATTAAGGAACCTTCAACACTATAGTTACTTGGCTACAACACAACGTTAAAATTTTTAAAACATCTCACATATACACTATTTCAACTTCAATATGAACATATTTTTGTGTTCTAATTTCGGGAAAAAATACAAATATTTATTATATATACGTACCTAATTTTGTATATAATAGTTTCTCAGTTTATTGTTTACGTTGAGAGTTTCCAATAGGGAATATTTGTGTATTATTAACCAGCGACATCAATGTGCTGTTACCCTGATGAAAGATTACTGAATGTAAATCAAAAACTGGCTTTAAGTTCATCCAATATCTCCATCTCACAAGACGGTTAGTCATACATGGATGCGAGGCTGATCTATTACCCAGTAAAGTCTGAGTAAAGCACAAGAATATTTTTATTTGTTTATTTATTTACAACCGAGTTCTTATATATAATTTATATATAACCGAGTTCTTACATTCTTGTACAGCCACTAAAACGCATAGCGTTTCGAGCAGGTCCTTAATCCTAATTTTCACACACACTTCACACACACACACACACCTCCAGGAAGCAGCCCGTCTAAATCACTAGGTGAACTGACGCATCAGGGTGAAAGAAACTCCCTGATGTTTCCGCCTCCGCCGGGAACGAGCTCGAACCCTTGGGACTACGAAGCCCGAGCGCTGTCCATTCAACCGTCAGGCTATATAACTTTATAAATATCTATCAATATTCGTGAGTGTATGAAGAAGTTCCAAGCTCAAAGTGCATCTGGTCTGAAATCACTGATAACAGGTTGCATTTTTTATGGGGGGGGGTCTGTAATTCGACCCTGGAAGAGTGTTACCTTGAGGTTATCTTGATTTCGGGGCTTTAGTGTCCTTGCGGCCCGGTCCTCGACCAGGCCTCCACCCCCAGGAAGCAGCCCGTGACAGCTGACTAACCCCCAGGTACCGATTTTACTGCTAGGTAACATGGGCATAGGGTGAAAGAAACTTTTGCCCATTGTTTCTCGTCGGCTCCCGGGATCGAACCCGGGACCACAGGATCACAAGTCCAGCGTGCTGTTCGCTCGGCCGACCGACCGGGGGGTTACATCGACATAAACCTAGCATGTATATATACACTGGCTGCTTGTCCCCCGACACAATGAATTATTATATTACTATTATTATTATTATTATTATTAAACTCCCGCTAGATTGAAAATATGCAAATGTCACCCCTTAGAAAATAATTACTGACTAGTAAGCCTAACTTCACATTTCTGAGGACGAGTGAAACACTGAACGGGGATTTTTATTTTTATTAAACTATAAAGTAAAACCATAAAATAAAATAATGTAAAGTATAAAGTAGTAGCGTAAATGACCACGATGTAGGAAGGGCATACAGCTTAACCTAAGGTCCCAGTTAGCAGGTAGAGTTGTAAAGGAACGGTGAACGTAAATTACTAGGTGGCCAGATGAGTGCGGAATGCATGAGGGTGAGTGAGTGACTGTTAAGATACGGGAGAGAGCAGGTAACTGGGTGAAGTTATGAACAGCCGTAAGAGTAAAGTGAGGATGAACGATGAGGGGTTCTGGCATGACCTTAAATAACCAGGTCAGGCACATGACCAAGGGTGTCAGCCCCCAGGCCAGACACATGAAGACCATGGGTGTCACCCCCAGGCCAGACACACGAAGACCATGGGTGTCACCCCCAGGCCAGACACACGAAGACCATGGGTGTCACCCCCAGGCCAGACACACGAAGACCATGGGTGTCACCCCCAGGCCAGACACACGAAGACCATGGGTGTCAGCCCCCAGGCCAGACACATGAAGACCATGGGTGTCACCCCCAGGCCAGACACACGAAGACCATGGGTGTCACCCCCAGGCCAGACACACGAAGACCATGGGTGTCAGCCCCCAGGCCAGACACATGAAGACCATGGGTGTCAGCCTCCAGGCCAGACACATGAAGACCACGGGTGTCAGCCCCAGGCCAGACACATGAAGACCACGGGTGTCAGCCCCAGGCCAGACACATGAAGACCACGGGTGTCAGCCCCAGGCCAGACACATGAAGACCACGGGTGTCAGCCCCAGGCCAGACACATGAAGACCACGGGTGTCAGCCTCCAGGCCAGACACATGAAGACCATGGGTGTCAGCCCCCAGGCCAGACACATGAAGACCATGGGTGTCAGCCCCAGGCCAGACACACGAAGATCATGTGTGTCAGCCTCGACTCTCATCATAAATGATCAGAAAGATCAAAATGAGATTAATTTTGTATACATATCACTGTACAATATATAATTTTTTGCCCCAAGATTATAAGTATTATTGCAGGATAGATCCAGTGCTATATAATACTATCAAATCTTCTGGAGTATATGTTCTGATATATCCGGAAGTATAGCAGCTGGGGCACTCAGATGTATCTAGGATTCTACTGTATAGGCTACCACAATTTATACGATGCTATAATTTAAATTTATAACGCTTATTTATAATTTATATAACGCTACCTATAATTTATAACAATTTCTATAAATAATTTATATAGTATATAGTAGTAGTATATACATATAATTTATATAACAATTTATATTAGGAAGCAAATGAAAAAATGCATTTCAGCTTCAGATAGACACTGTTAACATTAGCAATAAAAGTTATGGAAAGTTCCTTGGCCTATACATAGACAAGAGACTCAACTTCAGCACCCACATACAACACATAACCAAGAAAGTCTCAAAAACGGTTGTTATACTTTCTAAAATCAGATACTATGTTTCTAACGCTGCTCTCCTCTCATTATACTACGTCGTAATCTATCCCTATCTTATATACGGTATCTGTTCATGGGGTTCAACCACTGCAAATTACCTCAAGCCCATCATCTGCCAGCAAAAATCTGCTATCAGCACAATAAACTGTTTTCAGACAACACTCAGCCCTCCTGTTTAAATCCCTAAACATGCTAAACATAACCTCACTCCACACATTCTCTTGTGCCATTTACATTTACAAAACCCTGTTCTTAAATGTAAATCCTGATCTGAAACTCTCCCTTGACAGATATAATAGAACACATAATCACCACACCAGAAATAAATATATCTTTGATATCCCCAGTCAAACTAAATCTGTGTAAAAACGCTATGCAAATAAAGGGACCTAGTCTAAGGTGTCCCAACCTACGCCTTATTCAAAAATAAAACCAAAAAGTACCTAATTTCATCCTCATAGTTTCCTGTTTATTGCCTTAAACTCGCACTATCTTGTGCTACCCACTTCCCTAATATTTGTGCCTAAGCCATTCGACCTCACCATTGTAATCACTGCTATCATCTTATATCATGATTGTTATATTGAACGCATATTTTACTAC